GGTGTGAATTGAGTGCATCCATGAAGCTGTTTAAAACATAGTCACCCAAGATCATGGATCCTAACTACTGCATCAGGACATGAGGGCGGATCCCTGTTTCTGCAAGTCCCACAGATAATCCCAGTAGGCATTCATGGTTAAGAAGCACCAGTCCACGGATAAACAGCAGCATCTTTGACAGGATGCAGCTCTCTGTAACTATTCTCATTCCAACTCTCGCTGTCTCTACGGCTTTGGGCATGCTACTTAACCTTTTGCAGTCTCCTTGGTTTCTCTATTTATCAAATGATTATGAAGATAAAAATGAGATAATTTTTAAGTGCTTCTAAGGATCAAGAATTATGCTAAGTGCTTTATAATGAGTTTTCCCCAGTCTCTTTCATAAAATAACCCCACTGGGCAGGTGCTATTGACTACTGTAAACTAATATGAAGCATTTGTATTCATTTCCTTTTGGCATGTAAAAAGTCACCATAGACCCAGGAGCTTACTCCCATGGCATTTTCTATTTCAGAGCTCTGCAGATTAGAAGTCCAAGTGAGTTGAAGTGGGTTTCATGCTGAAGATCACATGAGGCCAGGTGCTGGCCAGGCTGGGCTCTATCTGGAGACAATGGGGGAGGACTCTCTTTCTAGTCCACTTAGGCTGTGGCAACATTCAGCTCCTTGCTGTGGGAGGACAGAGATCCTCACTTTTTGCTCTCAGATGGGGTCATTCACGGCTCCTGGAGGCCCCCACAGTCTTAATGTGGTTTCTCCAGGTTCAACCAAGCCACTGAATATTCAATCTTTCTCATGCTTTGGGTCTCTCTGACTTCCTCTTCTGTTCAAAGAAAAGTCTCTGCTACTAAGGGGTCCTGGGGTTAGATTAAGTTTATTGGACGATGCCACTATTTTAAGGTGAATTGTGCCACCTAACATAACACGGCCACTGGAATGATTCCTCACCATATTCTCAGGGTACAGAGACCAGAGTATGACATCTTTTGCGGGCTGCTGTAGAATTCTGCCTAGCAGGGAGAAATAACCAGTAAAAGGAATAAGATGGTCTCACAGTCTCAGAGTCTTAGTTGAAATGCCAGGTTGACTTCTACTACCATTTATTCTTTCCACGTTTTAAGAAAAACTAGTTACCTGCTCACACCTCTATCATCTCACGGGAAACAGAGGACACTACTACCTGGTGTGGAGGTATGGGAGGGGCTGTGGAAGTCACACCTGTGAAACAGACGAATACAATGTCTGACATGTACAAGGTGCTCAGAAACTGACCCTTGGTTCTGAAATAAAAGATGTTATTTTATAGTGATCCCAACATTCACATATTGAGGATTGTGAGATAATGGATATAATGAGCCACGCAGGGGGTCTGGCCCCTAGAAGGTATGTGATACACTCCCTGTCTCTATGTGTGTGTCTGTGTCTGTCTATCTATCTCTATATAAATGTATGTATATACCTCAGCCCCCTTCTTCCTGGAGGGTTTATGGGTTCAATGGTTATGCGTCATTTCATTTAAGTATGACAACATCCATGTGAAGTGGGTAAGAGTTATTGTTTCCTGCATTTTCCAGATAATAAATTTAAGGTTCAAGAGAATGACTTGAGGTTCTTCATGGACAGCAGAGTTAAAGCTGTCCTAGTCCCTCATCTTGTGCCTTCCACTAGAAACTTTAAAAAACGAAAAAACAAAAAGAGCTCCCTGGGAAGCTCGGGTTCCATTAGTTGCATTCACCACAGTAAGCACTATTTAATGGCTTGCATTTTAATCCCCTCAACAATAAACCAGCAGAATACTACAGACTCATCAGAATGCAAGCCTCCCACCTTGCAGCAGTGTGCAGAACTCAGGATTTATGGCCCACTCATTAGGAGTACACACAGCGTCTATTAGCAACAGCTGTCTAAATAGAAGGCACTTTATCTCCTCATCTCCTGACCTGCAGTATTCTTAGAAGGATTAACTCATGCTAAGGGTGGGGCCCTGGTGGCCGGATTAGCACCTTGAGTTCAGAGGTATTTGGCTCTGGGCACTGAGCAATCCTGCAGGGCTGCAGGGTTCTACAGAAAGAGGAGAATGGGACTGGGGACCCAAAGGCTGTGACAAAACTCTCTAACCTTCATCTGGCCTTGGGAGCCTGGCTTGTTCACCATTCATTGGTTTCTCCATTTGCATATCAATTAATTCCTTTGTGTGGGAATCCATTCACTCAAAGTGTAACTTTCGCTTTTTAAAAAGTTAACTTTATTGGTACATTTTAGGTACACATTATGATCACACTCATCATTGGGAATTTGTACCTGTACATGATATTTCTTAGTTCTTGTATTTTTCCCATTCCCCTTTCCTCTTTTCCACTCCTCCACCCACCCCTTCCTATTTACAAAAGCTTTGTTTCTGTGTTTTCCTTCGTTGCTCATATTTTTTCTTTCCCTTCTTTCCTCTCCTCCCCCACTTCCACTTCCCCTTTGAATCTCTGATAGGAAACAAAGTGTAACTTTCAAGTCTCTCCTTTAGCAGAAAGAAGTTGAGGATTCAAAGGTGACCAAATCAAGTTCTTGTGTCCTAGAGCAGAGAGAGGACAGGTCCAACTCTTCTGGACCAGGAACCAGGGGCCTGAAGGACAATAGGCAAAGAGCTGGAAGAATGAACTTCAAGGCACTGAAAGATGGTGAATTCCATACAGTGGCCACACAACAGGGGACAGGGATGGAAGAGGAGGAAGGAGCAAGTCACAGGCAAAAGAAGTTTATCTTTTCTCCTCAAGGATACAGGAAGCCAGTGACTGACTTTTCATCTAGAAGGGCAAGCCTTGGTATTCGAGGGTAGAGCCCATCCCCATCACTCTGAGCCGCGGCAGACGCCATCCAACTGAAGAGGAAGAGAGCAGGTCATGCAGCGACGTCATTGCTTCTGCCTGGCCCCACATCTTACTAGAGAAGGAAGGGGAGGCAGAGTCCCAGGGGAGGCCCCAAGGACTCACTGCCATGCTGAGACTATCCCTGCTGTCTAACACACAAGCCACTGGTCTCATGGAGCTTGTGAGCGCCTGAAGGGTGGCCATGCAATGTTTAACTTCAGTTTCCACCTCTGGAGCACATGTGGCTGGCTGGCTGGTGCCTACAGCACTGGGGGGTGACCCAGAGCTAGAATTCTCCCAGTGGCCTCCACCTCCATCTTCTCCTCTCTGGTGCTCTGGTGGCCGCATCCTTTGGGATGAGAGTGATTGTCCCTTTGCGGGCATTTCTGACACGCTTGCTTCCTGTCACCCACAGGCTTTTCCTTCCAGGAGAAAGGTACTCTGTCCCATGGGGAGGTGAATCACTTTTCTTAATGGTGCCCCTACAGTTAAACGCAAACTGGCTCCAAGGTTTCCTTAATAGCCCCAAGGTAAGCCAGATAGGAAGACAAATCAATTGTTCCTGATATCTTTATCATTCACCCAAAAGAATTCATTTTTCAGTGACAGGACTCTCTGCATGAAAGTAGACGGATTTTTTTCTTTTTTTTTAAATTTAATTTTTATTTATCTTTAATTTATTAGTATGTATTTGTGATACATAATAAAACATTTATCATAGGGAGCTGGAACACACACATCCCATCTCCCCCACCTCTGTCTTCCCTTCTTTCTTTGTCCCCAGATCCTCTTCCCATCTTCAGAGTCTACCTCCTTGATTCTTACCATCTATCTCTTTTATTTTGCCCTTTAAATGATATTTATTTTGGGTCTCTTATTTTAGAGAAACTAGGCAATATTTAACTTTATGTGTCTGATTACTTCACTTAGTATTATGGCCCCAAGATCTATCCATTTTCCTACAAATGACAGAAATTTATCATTCTTTAGGGCTGAGTAGTACACCATTGTGAATATACATACATATATATACCCATTTTCTGTATCCATTCATCTGTTTTCTTCCATTCTGAGAATGTCACTTTCATTTTCTACTGCTATCTGGCTAAGCAAAGACATTATGAATTTTTCTAATATGCCTGTCTATAAGAAATAACTCTAAGTAAAAATATAACCTAAGTGACTTGTGTGGGATAGCACTTCATAGTTTATGAAGCATTAGCTCATGTATTGTTGGGCTCAATCCCAACAACAAACAACCTTTGTAAGGTTCAAATCCGCATTCCCATTGCACAGAAGTGAAGGACAGAGGTATCAAAATTGTTCAAAGATACAAAGCCTCTAAGAGATAGAGTTATATTTGAACATCAGATCTATCTGAAAACTCACCTATCGTTTGGACATGAGAATATTAATGCAGAGAAAGGTGTTTCAGGCTAAGCATGAAAAGAGACAAAGTAGTGGCGATACATGGACATGTAAATGGCATCAAGTAGTCAGAGTGGGAAAGAGGACTTGTAATACATAAACACAAAAGAGTGCAGCCCTAACAGAGCATGGGGGTGCTAACTGCCAGACAGAGGAGTTCTGCTTTAGCTCTATGGTCTGCAGAAATCCAGAGGTTTTGGGCAAAGGAGTTGTGTTCCTAGACCAAGAAATCAAAGTTATAACTCAGAGCAGTGGCTCTCACAGTGTGGCCCCTAGGCCACTAGCATCATCCTCATCCGAAAGGTATTAAATATGCAAATGCTCCAGCCTACCCTGGACCTCCTTCATGGGAATGCCAGGGGACTGGACCAAGCTCAGTTCTGGCAGTCTTCCAAGGGATACCAATGCCCCAGCAACCATCTGCTCAGAGCAATGTATGGAGAGGCGACAAGGCCAGTTTCTAAATTCATTCAGCAAAGCCACCTGGCTGCCTTGCAGCAGCCCAGAAAGGAGAGACAGAAACCACAGGTGATAAAAGAAATCGATATAGTCATCAAGTCCAACATTCTCACTAGACAGGAATACCATGACACCTGGATTATGACACCTGTCCTGTATTATGACACCTGTCCAGTCCTCGGAAGATTCATTCTCCCATTCATTTTGTCAGGAGGTTTTCAGGGATGAAATCATAAAGTCTTGTGATGAAGCCAGAGTTTCATGAATGAGGCCACCAGTTCTCCTCTGGAGGGTGCTCTTAGCATCCCAGCCTCCTCCAGAAGTCCTTCCTGCAGACAACAGAAGAAGCCTTAGCTAATCCATTCCACCAAGAATGAGGCACTTCACCATCAGGTGCAGCAAGAAAGAGAAATACATAATATAAGTATTTACTGCTATGAATTTCCCTCATAAGATTTCTTTCATTGTGTCCCATAGATTCCAATATGTTGTACTGTCATTATCATTTAATTGAAGGAACTGTCTGATTTCTTCAATTTCCTCTGTGACACATTGGTTATTCAGAAGTGTGTTGTTCAATTTCCACGTGTTTATGAAATTTTTCCATTTTCTTTTGCTATCGATCTCCAATTTCATCGCACTATGGTCTGATAATATACAGGGGATAACTTCAATTCCTTTGCACTTACTGAAACATGTTCTATGCGCGAGTATGTGGTCTATTTTGGAGAATGACTCATGTGCAGCTGAGAAGAATGTGTATTCTGATTTTCTAGGGTGGAACACTCTGTAAACATC